TTAGGGTTTAGGGTCTGGGCTTTGCTGCTGACTGTCCCCCAGGTTGGATTGAGTGGATCTGATCCACTCTTCATCGTCTTCTCTCCAAGGGTCCCACAGTAGGGTAGCGAACTTTGTCGTGGAGCCCGGCGTACACAGCAGCGCTTTCTTCAGGCCTGTAATAATTATCGCCGGATGCCCCTCGCTTCATCTGTAAAACCCTAGCGTGGTGTACAGCGTGCGCGCGACATATACATTGTAGGAGTACCTGGACATCTGCGCGGTTGTCTTTCGTGGCGAAAACATTACATCGCGTATGCGGTTGAGCATAAGCGGTCGCCGCAAAGGTCTCACTGACCTTGCCCCAAGCACTTCTGCCACACAATATAGCGTGTCAAGAACCAGAAATATCATTCCCATGGTTTCTATTGCGCTCTTGGCCTGGCCGTGTGTGTAGGTCTCTGCCATATTTGTGATTGCAAATGCACAGAGAAATTCTACATTAGACAAAAGCCCGTTGAGGTCTGGCAGGGCGAGTGGATCCTTCGTCAGTATTTCTCTGCACCTACTGAGTGCATTAACTGCAAAGCGCTTGGTTGTGGACAACCACAAGGGTAATTGCACATCAAAGGCTATTGAATTCACTATCTGCTCTGTTGGAGGTGTCTCTAGGACTGGCGGAACACGCTAAAAGGGTTGGATTTTCAAACGTTTCAGAGGACCCCCGGCAACGACATGCCTGAACCAGCCGACATGTAAAAGGACGTCCTCATCAGTAGGCGGCACCGACGCTGGTGCTGGCTCAAGAAATCACAACAGAGGCATCAGCAGTAGAAGCGCCAGCAGTAGCAGCAGCAGAAGCAGCAGCCACTACAACAACAATACCGTTCAATCCCGATTACTGCACTTCAACAGCTGATCTCAACAGCTATGTACGCACATACATACACACACACACACACACACACACACACACACACACACACACACACACACACACACACACACACTCACTAGACAGCTGAACGACAGACAGAGGCGGCTCCTGCTGCGAGTACAGAAAGCAACGAACGTAGGCGTGTAGTGGATGCATTCATGCATGAGCAACGTACACGTAGCAGCTCCAACCTGTTGAGATGCTACCTGTTGCTAACGCACCCTGGTAATCGGGGCAGCAGCAGCGGCGGGCCAGCACCAGGAGCCCCAGAGGAAGAAGAGGGCAGTAATATTTGAGGTGGTGGCTAAACGATAATTACTTCTGTTACACGAGCAACAGTTGCTGTTGCTTCCGATTGTGGAGACGGCTCCGTTTCTTCTGCTGTTGTGACTCACGCCTCGGAGGCTCTGCAGCAGCCGCCGGCTGAGACGCTGCAGCAGCCGCCGGTTGAGAAGCAGCAGCCGCCTGCAGCCGCCGGTTGAGGCGGTCCAGTAGCCACCACTTGAGACACTGGAGCAGCCACCGGTTGTACCTATAAATGCCGAACAATGAAGACAAGGAAGCAGAATTTGAATGTGTGGGCAGCCCCCAGCAAAAGGGTCTTGTTCAGTCAACTCAGAACCTTACCTTCGCTGCAGCAGAAGAAGGCTCAGAGTGTAGGGCGGAGGAGATGCAGCTTCAGCAGCTGAGGCACGTGGCATATTTTGGGGAGTTGAAGGGCCTGCAGCTGGCTGCTGCTTTTCGCTGCTTCTCTCCTTATGGTTTTCCCCAAGATCTTCTTGTACTTGAGAAGGCGTTGAGGGCTGTTCATACACCGTATTCTGCGCCGCACCCCCCGCCAGGTCAACGGCTCCTGATGATGTGGAAGGCCGCGAACCAACAGGAAGGTCAAGTGGCTCAGAGATATGCGGTTCGTCGTCTGGTAGCCAGGTCGATTCAGGAGAGGGATCATTGCCAAGGAAGACGGGGATAATAAAAGAATCGGGGCCACGGTCCAGTGGGGAGGCAGGCTTTGGCGGGCCTTCTTCGAGCTGTTCATACGCCGTAATCCGTGCAGCTCTCCCCACCAGGACAGTGGCACCTACTAATGTGGAGGGAAGCGAACCAGCAGAGAGATCAAGTGGTTCAGAGATCTGTGAGAGGTTGCTGGCCTGCCAGGCCGTTCCAGCTAAGGGATCTCCTCTGAGCTTCTTTGCCACACCCTAAGCACTGAATACTTCTCCGCCTCTCCTCTTAAAACCTGCTTGTTCCCCTTCTGTAGTTTGCCGTTCACTAGTTTCTCCCAGGAACGCTTTTGCTGCCGAGCCGCCTGTCGCCTCCACTGAAGAAGCAGAGCGTGTATTGGCTGCTAGTTCATCCACCGGCGTAAGATCAGGAAACAATTGAATGTCGGCATCTTGCAGGTCCTGCTTTGTTTTGATGATGTGCCTGCGCAGGATTCTCTGCTACTTGAATCGGATTCCTCGCATTTTTCGGGCCCCCAGCTAGCGGCCAGCCGGCGGGCGAAGGATGTACGCTTAATTATCGTTTTCATGAACCAACTGCACAGGTAGACAAGGAATATCATAGCAGAAACGGCGGAAAATAATGCAAACAGCAATGGGATCCTTAACTGGCTTGGCGTTGTGGAACGCCTGGCCCACTCCCGTTGCACTGCATCTCGATGCGTGGTGTCTTGTGGCTCTAGAAGGGAAGCAGGAGGAGGATACTCAGGATGAGAAAAATCCCTATGAGGGGGACCTCTCCAACCTGCAAAACCGGAACCATAACGTATACTGCCGCTCATCAGCGACCGTCAGCAAG